CCACCTTGTGTTTGAACACATGTAATAGCTCCTGCATACATATCTTTAATGATTTGAATATAAGCATTATTGACTCCTTTCTTTTTAAGAACTCTCCATAGCACTTCTCTTGGAACTTTATCATATGCTTTTTCTAAATCAATAAATATCATATGTAGATCCTCCTTATTTTCTCTATATTTCTCCATCAAACCTCTTAATAAATGTATGGCTTCCATAGTCGACCTACCCGGCATGAATCCAAATTGATTTTGAGAAACATTAGTATCACGCCGCAACCTATGCTCCATAACTCGCTCCCATAGTTTTAAAGTATGACACATTAACTTAATACCTCTATAATTCGCACAATCTTGTGCATCACCTTTATTCTTAAAAATAGGAATTAACATACTCATTCTCCACTCATCTGGCATCTTTTTAGTCTTCAAAATAGTATTAAAAAGTTTAGTAAGCCATGAAATTCCTTCATCTCCTAAGCATTTCCACACCTCTATTGGGATATCATCAGGTCCAACAGCTTTTCCACCCTTCATTTTCTTTAAAGCCTCTCTAATTTCAGTTTTACTAATATGCCGATAAAAACATAAATCTTTATTTTCATCTAGGGTGCTAAGGTCACTATAGTCAATCTTATTTTCACAATCTTCATTAAAAAGTTTAGCAAAATATCTCATCCATCTTTGTTGAATATCATCTTCTAAGAAAAGTATTTTTTGATCTTCATCTTTAATACACTTCACTTGAACTAAATCCTTACTACTCCTATCTCTTTGTTTGGCTAACTTATACATATATCTTTCTCCCTCTTTAGTATCTAATCTATTATATAAATCACTAAAAGCTAATGTCTTTGCATCGCATATGGCTTTCTTAGCATCCTTACGAGCAACTTTATATATTTCCCAATTATCGGAATTTTTAAAATTAAACCAATTTTTATAACAAAGCTTCTTATTTTTAATTTTTTCTTGCACATTAGGATTCCACCACCAACTATTTTTACTATTGGGAGCTTTTCCCTTTGATACTCCAAGGACATCTTTTGCAATATTCTTAATATCAGTAGCCACTTTTTCCCACATAATATTAGCATCCTCATGCACAGACAAAATCTTAAGATCTAAAATCTTATTTCCAAAAATATTTTTGTTAATATTCTTTAAATGCCCCCATTTAATCCTAGAAAATTGTTTTACTTTATTTTTTATTTTATGCCCCTTTATCTTAAAGTCCAAAACTAATAATCGATGTTGGGTACATAAATTTTCACTCGGAATAACTTTACAATCTTTGCAATCTAAACGATTTAATTTTCTAATAAGAAAATAGTCAATCTGGGTTGTATTATATCCATTTTTATAAGTGATGAGATGCTCATTCCTTTTCTTAAATAAGGTATTAGCAATTAAAAAATTATAAGCTAAACAAAAATCCAATATGGTCTTGCCACCTTCATTCGTCGTTCCAAATCCATGGCCACCATGAATGCTTTTAAAATCATCTACCTCTCTACCAACATGTCCATTTAAATCTCCTCCAATAAAAACTCTTTCTTCAAGAGGTACATTTTGTATTAATTCTTCTAAGTCATTCCAAAAATTTAATTTAGAGCTCATATCCAAACCTACTTGAGGAGCATAAGCACTTATAATATTAACAATCTTATCATCAACAACAATCTTTAAAGCTATAATTCTATCTCCAATTCTATTAATTTTTATAACATTATCCTTTAAACTCTTATCTATAATAACACCTACACCATTTCTAGTACGACTCCTACCCGAATACCAAAGTTTAAATCCTAAACTATCAATTTCCTTAGCCTTATCTCCAACCCATTTAGTTTCCTGAATGCACAAAATATTTAACTTCTTATGAATCATAATATCTATTAATTCCATTAATTTTCCTGTAAGGGAACCTATATTCCAAGTTCCTATCCTAATTTTAGATCATGGACTAGCTTCTTTGCCCACATCCGTCCTTGATGTGGGAACCCTTGCCAATTTAACACTGCACCCGGGCGCCGGTGCAGCGGCCCTTGCACACTTGTCACTGTATTCAGGCCATACAGCGCGTCGCTTCCAGGGGATGCCCTAGCATTAACACAATTTCTTAAAGGATTCATGTCATTATTGTTCGACAAGTTTTACGCTGGCTGTCGACTACCTAACGCAACCCTCCACTTTTCTCATCCAGGACTTGGGACCTGGCAACGGCAGTGTTCCGATATCAAATGATAGGGATTTTTTTTTTTTAATGATAATGGAAAAGTTCTGGTTTAATGTGCTTTATTTTAGGATCTGATCATCCATTAGAAATAAAACAACACGTGAACCAGCCTCAATCTCAATTTAACCATTGCTACAATGCTTCAATCCTGTTGCTAGAATACCCATGCTAGATAAAGCCGTTATCAAATGGCAAATAATAACTTTACGAGGCAGGATAATAGTATAACTAAAAGCTCGTGCAATATTGTCACTACCAAGACCAGCTCATACTTCCACTTAAGCAGTCCATCAAGCAAAAAATTTTAGCATGTACTACAGCCAATTAAGTTTAGCCTAAAACCTGCACGGAAGGATCCCTGCAATACCCTCAATCCTAACAAATCTAAAGATAAGAACAAAACAACTTTGATCATTATGTTCCTTAGGTCTATGTGGCCTGGTCAGTAGAAAGGCTTGGCACAAAATAGGCCAAGCTCCAAGAGTCTATTTTTCCTTGGTGAGTAAACTTTAATCCTTTATCTTTCTCTAAAAGAGTACCCTACCACCTTTCAACTTGTGAGATTGTCATGGCCATCCTCATCTTTTAAGTTTAAATTCTTGGTACTTAACTAGCTGTTCGACCAAACTATGCAACTTTCTTCGACTACACTAAATATACGTGATTCCAACCCTAGCTTTAAGATACAAACCCATGTCCCAAAGCGTGAATAAATTTGCTGATCACCTTCCCAGGAAAAAAACAAAACAAGCAAATTCACAGAACATTTATCAAGAAAAACCAGTCGTTCATTCCTACCCATTTCCCATTTGTAGGTTGTACCCCGACACAGAGAATCAGATCTCAAATGCTGTACATTACAAAAGGATGAAGTAGAGAAATTGGCCATCAGAAAAAGAATTATTTAATGAAACCAAAAAATAAAAAACACTCTCACCAGCAGAATCAGCCCCAGCCGCCAGACATTAAGGATCCATAACTCATTTCTTCCTCCTTGGAAATGATTGGAGCTGCCACCTTTCCCTTTCCTTCTAATGCCTAAACCACGGTGATAAACATTCCAGCAAAAGCCCTTTCACGGTGCAAACGCCAACCAGCCCCCGCTCTGCCAGCTCTCTCTCTCTCTCTCTCGAAGCTGACGTCTTTCTCTTTGCTTTCTCTCCGTTACGTCATTGCACGACAAAAGATCACCTGTTGGAAAAGATGAGAGAAAAGGATTGAACTGAAGTGTAATGTAAACCAGCAATTTAGTTTTGCGTGTGTTATGTGTAATGTAAACCATCAGTGTATCTTTATTGGACAAACGCTTAGTTTGGCACGCTTTTTTATTATTTTATAAAATAGTTTTTTTTAATATTAATTGAAAATTTTGACTATTAATTAAAAAGTTTTGGGAAGAAAATTAATATTATGTGTGTGAATTTATCTTTTTTTTTGGAACATTTAGATCATTTAAGACAAATTCACACACACAACGCACACACATAGACTCGAACCTTGAACCTCTTAGTTGGAAGCCTAAGCTCTCAACCAATAGGCCAAGGAGAGTTGTGATGTTTTTCCGTTTTTGCCCTTATGGACATTTAGTCGCTTATGTAGCCCGGAAGGGCATTTGTGTCATTTCTTATTTTTTCATTTTGGCCTATTTATATGAGGCCTCATGCATTGTAATTTCAGTTTTGGATAAAATGAAATTTACTTTCCTTGGTTCTCTTTGTGAGTGCTTCTCCCTTTGATCTCTTAGTGAGTTCAAAAGGGATAGTTAGATCTCTCCGTGAGTTCTACATTTTACTCCACGTACGTTGTGCGAAGGTGAAATCAAAACAAAGTCCGAGATCAAGGAATTCATTGGAAGAATTTGTTCGTTTTCTTCAATCTCCCTCCACTGCCGTCGACCCCAGTGAGCCCAGCATCACGGATGCCCCTCTGTTCCACTATCCAGACGGATCCAGCCATCCCACCGGTTCAACCCTGAATCCCTCCTGTTGGCCAGCCCATCCCCAGCCCGCATCACGCCAGCCACCCCCGGCCAGCCAGCCCGTGGCTCCATCCTGCCGCCCCTTGGAAATTTTGGATTGGAAATTCAAATCCAAGCCTTGATTACCTTCCAAATTTAATTCCTAAGATTGAGTCCATTGTGTTAAAGGAATTGAGCCCAAATTTTGTAACTCCCAAACGGCTAATTGAGTCCCTTAAATTAGGGAATTAATTAAGAGGAGTTACAATTGTGAAATTCAAATTCCCTCCTATTTTAAATTATGGGAAGTTACTTAAGCCCAATTAAATCTGAAATTAAAATTCAGATTTAATAGAATTTCTTACTTAAACTTGGGCCCCACTCTCATAACTCCTAAATCTCTCCCTCTCCTCCTTAGTGGGCCGACCACTCATAGTGGGCCTCTTTCTCCTTCCAAATGACATATGAACACCACAAATTCAGCCCAAATTTCTTCCCCCTTCACTGCCCCATTAAACCCATTTGGATTAATTTGAATCCATCAAGTTAATTCCCTCCCACCTCTATCAAAACTGAAATTCCTGCAGGAATTTTCAGTTTTTGTCTTTGGAATCTTCCCCCAAGCAACCACAGCAAGCACTCAGGATAATTCTCCTCCACCACTCCGGTCACCTATCCAAGAACGACGATCTTATGCTCCTTCTTCCTTGGAGTGACCTCGCTTCTACTGTGGAGACTCTTCTTCCGCTAAAACCTAGACTAGTTGAGTGTATGGGCTCCAAAGGTGAAAATTCTCATTATTAAATTGTGGATTCTTGTGGCCATTGTAGTTTTACAATTATTCTTTGTGTTTCTTGAATTGTTTGGTTGATTGATCTTGCTCCACTTTGCCTAAGCATGTTAAAAATTAAGAGTTCTAAGGATCACTCTTTTATGACAATGATAATTTTATTTTGGGTTATTATGCTACAATTGCTCTCTTTAATTTCTTAAAGTAACTCCATCATTGCATGTACGTTTCACATCAATAGGGATATAAGAGTTAAAAATAATTAAACATTTCAAAACATTTTAGATGTAAATTAAGTTGCCCATAAAAACAATAAAGAAATAAATAGACTTAGAACATAGAAGATAAGGAGAAAAAATACATATCTCAACATACCATCCCAACTGAAAAAGAGCATAAGGAGGCTGAGAAATAAAAGCAACAATTACATGATGAGAGAAAGAGGTAATGCCTTGATGCCATCATAATAGGCTAATAGCAATGCATTTTGTTATATGTGAAAATTTTACATTGAAATAAAACATAGGGGTTCAAAAGTGTATCCCCTGTTCTACAATATTCTGAACACTCGATGGATGACCCAAGCTTTAACCGCCAAATCCCCTATCTTTTCTTCTTTCTCCTCTTCTGCTCTCCCATTTCTCCTCCTTTCTTCTCTAGCAAGATTGCTAGGAGAGGTGAATTAAGCAAATGGTTTTAGATATTTTATCATTTCAAAAACTACTAATCTGGCCTAGCATTGTAGTGCTCCAAGAAAATCTTTTAGATTCTCTGAGAATATTTCCATATGAGACTTGGTGCTGCAGTGGAGTCATCTAGCGCTGTAGCGCACAATCAATTTCTTCCCACCACCCGAGAGGATAATGTCGCGGCGCTGTCAATCCCAATGCCACTGTGCTCATAAAAGCAGTTTTTATACTTTGGAATTTTACTTCTCCAACCCATTTCCTGTTCACTTAAGGTCTCTTTAAGCACTCAAAGGCTGATAATTACAAATTAAATCAAAATTAAATAAACATGTAGTTTGATTAATCTTAATTACCTAGATTTCAAAAAAGCTGATATTACAGGAAGATAACCTACAGTTATTGTATTAGAACAAGTTGGTAGCTAGGGTTTCTGGAGGAGGAAGGGGGTGTTCGATGGTTATGATAGAGTATGGTCAAGAGGAGAGTGATAGTGACAAGATGGGAGAGGCTCTATTATTCTATGCGGAGTCTGGAGGGCGTCCGGAGACCAATAAAAATGCACTCGGTACCCACGCATGGTACCACTCGGTACCGCTCAGTACCGAGCGCGTAATCGGATAGGAGAAGCGTCCGGTGTCCGCACAGAATAATAGCTCGTGAGAGAGAAGATTGGGTGATAAAAACAAAAGATTTATCAAAACCAAACTGAAAGAAAAAGATATGTGTATCAAAATGGAGCTCAGCAGAAGAATTAAGAAGGCAATATCCCATCAGTGGTACCATTGCAGTATAGAAAGCTCATAGAGCAGGAAAAGCCGCATTGGGTTGCACCAAGACGAGCGCCAATAATCCTCAATGTCATCACAGCTATAGGGATACAAGTACATTTTCTTAAAGCTTATCATACAAAATTGTGCAGAAATTTCCTTATTTTATGGAGTCTTAGATCTGTATAAAGATAAGGTCATTTTTGAAACCAACTGTTATACTTTAGACAGTCTGTTTGTGTTTGGGAAGGTTTGGAAATGTTGGGTGCTACCTTTGTAATTTTGTTACATATTTCTTTCTTATGCGCTTCTATTTAATTGGTATCATAGTTATTTTAACTACTAACAAGAAAGAGTTGTCATCAACCTTGTGACATTACAATCTGAGCTGTTAATAATTGAAGCTACTTTTGTCGAGCTTTAGAAATATTTGCTTGCTGGTCACTTCAGTTACTAGATTTTCAGCATGAATTAGACCTTTAAACATCAAAATGAATTGCAATCCATTTTCCATTAAGAAACTCACCAACGTCATTTTTGAGATTGAAGGAATCATCTCTACTTAGCTCTGAGCAACTTATATAAGTTCTATTTTGGCTCTTGCTTTTGTGTCACCACTTATGTCACTACAGGAAAATCACGCGTTATTGGCGGACTTTCCATCGGAAAATTGTTGACAGATTTGAACGTTTTTTGGAAAATAGTTTGTCGAAAAATTTCGTCTGTAATGGACGATTTTCCTGTAGTGTGTATATTCTACATTAAGGTATTATCCCTTAATCATCAAGGTTCCTTTGCTTGAAAGGGAGAACATGTAATGCAGTGCATTATGTTCAGGTAAACTTACCTCTGAATGCAAAGGGGAGACTTCTGAGCATGAAGAGACTGCAAATAATTACAAAAATAGAGGGAAAGTTCAAATCTATCATAGAATGGGTACCTCGATTTCATATTTGTACCTATTATAATTCTAAATTATAATTATAAAGATATCTTATGATAAGTCTATCTATTAGAAAGAATATTAAGATAATCTTAAAATGAAGTATTTCAGAATAAATAACGAATGTAGAACTAAATGAAGTGTACCTATTCCTCTTTCTACACGAATATGTATGAGAATCCGCTTTCAGAAATTGGATTCTTCTTCTCCCATCCTTATCTTCATCGTCTTTCTATCTTTCCTTTCAAAACACCTTTTTTGTTTTGAAAGGAAAGATAGAAAAGAGTTTCTTATGAGTTCCCGACTCTCAAGACATTCATTTGGATGCAGTTCATAGGGATGAAATTTCAGTGCTAAAATTGGATGCATTTGTGCACTTCATATGCTTTTATCATAGAATTTAATCAAAGCAACTCGATAAATAGTCTTTTTTGGACATCCCTGTTACATGCTATGGCGTGGCCCTGCTGACTTAGGGTTCGTTTGTGATTGCTTTCTTAATGCTTTTTAAAACAGTGTTTTAGTTAAAAAAAAAATTCTTGAATTATAATTTTTTTGTACTAAAAGATTGTTTTAGAAAGCAATGAAAAAACTGTCACAAACAAAGTCTTACGTTCCGAGTAAAATTTTGCCGAAAAAAGCCTCAATCCTTAAGGTCAGAGAGAAGTAAGCTTTAAACAGAAATGCTTATCACTAGCTTTACTGGTAGGTGTAAAATACTGAGTCCTTTGTTGATTTTTTTTTAAAGAAAATTCTACTGCTTGCATTAAGAACAACTATTAAAAATTGCTCAATGGTAATGAACACGGTGAAGAAACAAACAGGATTTGTGATTAAATTTTTGAAGATTCAAAGATTTTTCCTTTGAAATTAAAGCTAACAAAAGTACAAAGGCTTATAGCTACATGTAAATAAAAAAAAAAATAAAAGAAAAAAAAATGTAAACACGGCCACGAGAGGAGAGCATAGCCATGCTGGATTGATTTGAAGTATCAAATCGAGCCATATCAGAGGCTATGTGTATTTCCTCGCTGATGATAAGGGAATAGAGCTGATCAAGGCTTAATGGTTGAGTCATTGTCCGAATAGCAGTCTTGAAAGATTGATATTGC